TCAGCTGAGTACTTAGGAAGGCGTGCAATTGGAACCCAAGCAGCCGAGCTACCGCAGCCAACCGCCAGTGCTGCCAGCAAAGCCGCTACAGATGGTACAGTAATTACGCTCGTCGTCTAAAACTGTTGTTTAGAGATTTTCGGCACTCCTTCGCGCTGAGGTGCGGTATCAGCCTCAGGATGACATGATATCCTCAATATTTTGAGGATCATGCAATCGAATACAAAACTATACAAGAGATTTTCCAATTTACAAACGACTGCAAAAAGAATAAATCGTAAATCAAGTTGTTGTTCTGTCAGATTTCATTCAATGACTGTTTATTCTATTTTACCAATTTTCCAGCAATTCCTTGAACGCTTCAGAATTTGAAGTGCGTTTTCGCTGGAGTGGTTATTATGAGTGGTTCTTTTCAATTTTGGTTTTTTTTTCAGCTTTGAAAATTCTCGAGAATACAAGATGTACGACTGCATAGGCTACACGGTTAGCTTTGTCCGTTTACTGGATGCATGCAGTTGTGACCTAGCTGGCAGGACATTCACGGAACGCAGTAAAAAAAGTAGATTTTTAATTTTTATGATTTTTGGCGTTCTTGAAGGTACAGCAATTGAAGTGTGTTTTTGTCTTGTTTCTTGATCTATTTGATCCCGTGTTAACGTGACGAGAGGTTTGGGTTTTGATGTCATTAATTATTTATTTTCTCAAAAAATATGTTTTAAATTTTCGACGTATGCTTAGACCTGAGGCTCTTTTTCGAATTCTTTGTGACCATTTCCTTGAAAAAAAAAACACTGTGTAGCTTTTTATTTGTACGGTTCTCAGAAATTAATAAACTTTTTCGATGTTCCGTTAGATATATGTTCGAGTATCACGCTATTTCTGAGGCTGATATCGTACCCCAGCCCGACGAGGTGCGAGAAAACCTCTCAGCAAGTTTTAGGTGACGAGCATAGTTTTTATATACGATCGCGCCATACGATAATGGCACGCCGCTCGCACGGTATGAAAATTGCCATTCGCATTTGAAGCACTGCGAATCACGGTGAATCTGTGGTAGACCTGATGACAACTTTCAATTTCAGGCAAACAATGGCTTCAATTTCAAATATGAACTTGAAGTTTCCAAAGTTTCCAAATTTTTGAAATTTGAAAATTCAAATTTCAAAAATTCAAATTCCCAAACTTGAGTTCAAACTCGGCACCTCGAGGTGCTTATGAGGACTGAGTCTCAATGGAAGAACTAGAAGAATCCCACTTGTGTTAATGAGACAACTCCATTGCGAAACAGCGATAACCTTAATGATTTGGCGATAAAGCACCCAAAAACTGCGTCGTACTTCACGCAGGTATCGCTTGTGCTTACAGCGTGTGAAAATGCGGAAGATATCATGGCACGCCACTCACTGATAGATTGCGCGCCGCTCGCACTCTCAACTAGGGCGCGCCGTTCGCAATACAGTGTTATAGTGGCGCGCGCGCCGCCGCGCCGAGTGTCGAATAAGCGCGCCGGCGGCCGTAATAAGGCGCGCCGCTCGCCGGCTGCGAACGATGGCGCGCCGCTCGCACTGCAGCCTCAACTGTGGCGCGCCGCTCGCACGGCAGCCTCAAATAGGGCACGCCGCTCGCACGGCAGCATCAAATAGAGCGCGCCGCTCGCACTGTAGCGCTATTATGGCGCGCCCGCCGCCGCAGCGAGTGTCTGAGTACTACTTTTGTCCACCCACCGCTATGCAAAAAAGCGGCAGTTCAAAAAAAAAACAATTTTCGAAGTGCTACACGTGGAAGTAATACCTTGTATTCCAACACTAAGATAATCGAGATTAATAATGTATCGAGTATTCTAATCTCAAGATATTGGGAACTATCTATGCTTTGGTTGACAAAAAAAGAGTTCTTCTCAAGTAAAAAAAAGCCAAACTCAGTGAAACCTGTTCGAAAACTATTAAGAAATTTCTAATTACAATCAGATAAAAATTATTTACAGCTAGCGAAGGTCATTCTCAGTCTATCACTAGGATGTGGGAGTGTGCGCGAATGAGACGAAGAAGGTCAGAAAAAGAAAGTGGTAAAAGTTCAAACAAACTTCAAGAGTCAAATCTAACAATAAGTCATACACCAACTATAGTCGATATACCTATCCGACCCAAAGATGGTAAAAGTATTACTGTAAATAAAAACAGCATGTAGATGACTGATATAGCCTGTCTGTTGAATTACTTACCGCTTACCCGCTCACTAACATACGCATTTTAGCACTGCAACCTCAGTGTCTTTATTCATTAGGTACATCAGCAGATATGCTACTATATCCTAAGAACAACCTTTGTCTAAGAAGATTCGAGATCATCAACCATGAGTTAATTAATTCGGCTTTCAATAAAGCTTTTTTCATTTCCATACATATCTGCGAACAGAGCTCGAAATGTTTATAGAATGGTTACCGCCAACAGGCTTTGCTTCCGCGAACAACTGATAAAGACTACATTGTTTAAGGCTACTGCATGACGAAGGCGCAGAAGCAGTATTAATTGAGCGGGCGCGAACGCGACCGCGTATCCTCACCATTGTACCCTTTGATTCAATGAAATTGGCGGCTGAGAAGGCTCAAACCCGCGACGCAGCCTGCGTTTCGCTCGCGAGCGTGCCCTTCTGATCATTCCCTAGCCTTGATTAGGCCTCGAAGCCCTGCCTTCCAGCCACCAATCCCGCTAAATCAAAAGGTAAACCAACGCCTCATGCACTCTGCGGCTGATAAAGCCGCGTCAGCGCCCGAAGATTCTGCGCCTTTGTCATGCAGCAGCTTATAGATATATATTGAGTAGGCAAACATTCTCAAAGGTGCTTATCTATGGACTTTTTGTTGAGGACCGATATCTAGACAAATATCACGAACCTTATCACGAAATCGACGATGCTCAATTTCGTCTTCCAATTGGTACAATCTCGTCGATATACGACCTGAAAATATAAGAGCATAAGAGAACATCGAGGCCTTAAGCGGTGCTTGTATAAATCTTTGGCATGATTTGTGCCTCAGTTTTTCAATGATGTACTGCGATGGGGGTTTGTGAAACAATTTAATATGGATAAAAGCTAAATGACGGTAAAGGCTTCAAAACTACACTACGAAAAGCAACTATTTAGCTGTATGTAAATCGACATAGAATAGCACAAAAAAGAAACGAGATCTTACCAATTTGACGACGCATTAACTTCAGTTCTTGCAAAGGGTTCTCTTCTATTGCTATGGAATTTTCGCTTCGTACAGGTTCATCCTAAGATTTCATATTTATGAAGTGAATAGAAAACAATAAAGGAAACCTACAGCAGGATCGCCTCTGTCCAGGTATGGGCTTTCTTTGAGTGTGATGGTGTTTGGAAGGTCCTTTATATCATTCTGAAAGCTTACATGAGTTCACATCATTAGAATAAAATCCGAAGTACCTCTCCCACTTGAGTGATATGATCATTCATGAGCTCCAATGGTTGTGCCTCATAACCTTTGTAACCATCTCCACCTGTGAGTACTATCCGATCTGGTACATTCATCATCTGCATCAGACGTTCACGTTCCACGGTGGTATGATTCTAGAATGAGTACATAACAGAACTGCTTTCAGAAACTTCAGCTCCTCTTGCAGTGAAACAAAATCATTAAAGTCAACTGAAACCACAAAATCTAATTTTCTCAAAAAGCTGAACTCTCGATCATGAATGATAAACCCCATATTATTTGGAAGCTCCTATTCCAGAAATGATAAGACAACGCTAGCGGAAGCAACAAGCTTTCTCGGGGGGCAAGCGTTATGGAGCAAAGTTACGCCGCATAACCCTGCGGTATATCCTGAGGGCCATTTGCGTTGCGTCGCCTTTAATTGCTCAGGAGTAACGCTGCTCCTGCCAGCGGATTGAGCCATTCCCTGTTACCGACCAGATTTCAAACTGTATTAATGCAATAAAGACAACAAAGAAGACTAAATTCAGAAAATTCAAAACAAAATAGATGAGTTTTAGGGATGAATCAAAGGCTCATTCTGGAATGATCCAATACTGGATATTGAGTTAAAAGTGTTCAAGAGAAGTAGAACACGAGAATTAGAGAAAACGGATAGAAATTTTCCGTCAGTAACTTCCCAAGAAAAATTACTTCCTCATCTTTTACTTTCTCTTGGCTTGCTTTGGAGACACTCCTACCTCATATTCTTTGTTCGAAATGCGTATATCATTCACGTTTTGATCTCTTTATCTATGAAGGATGAGGAAAATGACTCAGTAGCACTAGCTCGTCTGCACTGCAATTAGGAGCGACGCAACGCAAAGGGCCCTCAGGATATACCACAGGCAAATGCGGCGTACCTTTGCTCCATAACGCGGCGCCGCCAGCTTTCTCGACGCTGAAAAATGTCGGCAGTCTTTCGAATCCAACATCCGAATCCTCAAACTTGATAGAACATCGGCCTAATGTCTGAATATGCAACAAGCTTTCCTTCACACAGCCGTATGTCGGATAATTTTCTTAACTTTTGAACTTCAGATTCCGAAAACCGACAAGCCTTCAATCAAGTTCGACTGGATGAAATTCAGATGTCGTTCAAATGATAACAATAGGAGAAAACTAACATCATATCCGACACTCTTCAGTGGCTCTCCTGTGACTGATATATGTTCTGGTACGATCATCGTCCTGCAATGTCAATGTAATGAATTTACAACAGGTAGTGTTTGCCACTCAAAAAATGTCAGAACTCCTTGCGCACGGCAAAATTAGATGGGAGAAATTCTGAAACGTTATTCGCGATGACAATGAGGAGTAGCTAATGTCGGTGACAGATCACGAGCTTTGGTGACGAAATAAAATCGCAACGTGAGATTTTAGTTAGAACAGACGTACTGCTCGCCGTAGGTGCCGCACCTGCAGACATGTACGCTAATTAGCGGCTTTTTGCAGAATTCATTCACTTTTTTCCTAGGCAGGCGCCATATTTGATCCACTTGGTCCACTTCTTCCACTTCGCTTCTGGTTAAATTAGTGAACTGATCAACAGTGGAAGGGATGTCCACTTGATAACTTGATCCACTTGATCAACTTCGCCATTTGCCAAGCCAGTGAACTGAGTAATAGAGAAGCGGATGTTTATCCGCTTCATCCGCCTCGCTATTGGTCAGCCCGCTGATTTGGCCAGTAGCAAATGGATGAATCTCATAATCGCGCGAACCGGATAAGTATGGCGCCTACTTTAGGCACGCGCCATACTTGATCCGCTTTATCCGCATGACCCACTTTAACTGCTTCACTATTGGTCAGCTTGTTGATTTGCCCAATATCGAACTGGACGGAGCGGATCAAGCGGACCAAGTATGGTGCGTTACTTAGGGTGGCTCCATAGCGCGCCGTTAGCCGCCTTTGAAGGCAGCGACCAGGCAAATCTGGGCTTACGGGGATCTCACTTGGAGAATCTTGGAGCCCTAACTAAAACATTGCCCAAGCGGCAGCTCAAATGGTGAGCTCACAGTTGAGATGTTGCCTCCAAACTAGACCCGGGATCGTATTCGCATGGATTCATGGCGCGACACATCAACTCCACGCGGATCCACGCATGTCGCGCCATGAATCCATGCGAATATGATCGTGGGGTCCAGTTTGGAGGCGAGTATTTCAACTGTGAGTTCATTATTCAAGCTGCCGCTTGAGCAGTGTCCTAGTTAAGGCCCCAAAATTCCTTTCCACACCAGAACGCCGTATGTCCAGATTTGCCTGGACGCTGCCTTCAAGCACTATTTAAGGCATTCGATTATCCGTCCCAATATCGAAACACAAAACTTGCTCAAAGTTCGTTTGGCGAGGTTATTCGGCATGTTACTTACAAACAGCAGAATCTTTCATATGGAAGGCCTTGGAATAGTGGGGTAGTGCGCAAAAGTGGCTAGCGGCGGCTGCCGGCGCGGTATGAAGACACCCGTAGAGCTCAGCCTTCACTAAACAAAAATCCAAGCTTGATCAACAGCTTTGTCCTGTAAAAATGGAAACTTAAATAATGTAATGTTATGAAAACGCCTTCATCTCATAAGCTTCTTCCTGCAGACTCAGGCAGTGTCATGTTGCGAAGACCACTCACTTCCATCGAAATAAAGGCAGACGATATTGACCATATGGAAAAGGTTTTGCTAGAGCTATATCAAAAAAGAGTTAGTTTGAACTTTTTATCATTACACCTTTTTGAAATATCTAGTTGCACCACTACATCAGTTCAGGATCCTTCGAAAACACCTATGGAAACTGATACTAACTACACAACACCTTCAACAGCGATTTCCAGTGAACGTAAGTGCTTCCGTTCTTTTTCTGGTTTTGTTGTCTCACTTGGTATCTATTTCTGTGGGTCGCCACAACAGTGGAAATTTTCCAGCCAAGCGACCTGTATCTCCTACGGAGACGCTGTCTTCTATGGATACCTCTGGGAACCAAACTTTACCAACCTTTATGTCTCCAGGAAACAGCTTCACCAATGAAGGATCCGCTTGATGCATCTTTCTCATCTTGGAAATATGTTGATTGCAATGTCTAAATGTTACGGGTTGTAAATCAAACATTTTTTGATTCATGTAAAATTTGCGAAATTAATGCTTGCAATTTTGACAGCGCTTATTGCGTAAAAATTCTTTGTACTGGTGACTTGCAAATCTAATCAGCGATGCCAGGATGCTAGAAAACTATGGATATCAGCGAAGTTTCGGCAAACCACAGAGCAGAAGGAAAGTGTTCAAAGATGAAGACGATGATGTGGTGGAAGTGCAAACTAGCAGCGCAGGTGCGAGATAAGTCAATGTGTCTCATCTTCAATCACATTATTTCAGGAAAGAAACAAGATAAGGTAAAACCTGAGCCGTTGAACCTTAAGAGAAAGCATGACTATCATAAAGATTCCAAGCTGAAGGCGTGGAGAATGATCATCAGAAATCTACCATTTAAGGCAAGCTTGATTTTTTACTTTTTTACTTCTTCAAGATCATGTGTTTTATAGCTTTTATGCTACTTCCCAGATTGTATTTTGGTATAATTTATCGATTATTTAGACCACAAAAGAAGACCTCCAGAACGTTTGTTCCAAATTTGGTCCTTTCACCGACATTGTCCTTCCTCCCTCAAAGAAAATGCCAAAGCGCATTGCTGGTTTCGCTTTCGTCCAGTTCAAGACGAGAGAAGCTGCTGAAAAGGCTCGGGAACACTTCAACTCCAATAAGTTTCAGGTCAGCTTCATAGCTTTCTCTACAACTTGCCTATCTACAAATTTCTTAAAGTATAGGGTCGTTTGGTAGCTGCAGACTGGGCACTTCCAAAGGATACCTATGAGACGGCTGCTCAAGAAGGCAAGTTGATTCATCTCAGGGTCTTACGTGTTCGATTGTGTTTAGAGAGGGAACAGCTTAAGAAGAAGGTCAAATTGGAAGTAGAAGACAATGAAGATGTGAAAGAAGAACTAGAAACGTCAAGGTAATTTCATCATTACAAATCAATGCAAAACGAAGATCCAACTTAAAGACTTAGAAAGCAGAAGCCATTAGCAGCTCACCTGAATAGCAAAGGGAATGAAGAAGATGATGGTGAAGATTTGAGGTGAGTTTTTGTTTGATTAGATATAGTGAGGTCTTTAGGACTCATAACTTCATTTCCTGTTTCATCTCTGTTCCATCGTCATTTCCTTCTATATAATTTTTTTCTTTCGATTCGGCTGTTATCGATTTCCCATCTCTTAGTGATGAAGAAGTTGACGAAGATACCAGCGGTGACGAAAGTGCATCTGGACAGGAAAGTGATGATGGCACCCAAAAAGATGATGAAGAAGGGGAGGAAGAAAGCGATGAAGACGTAAAACCAAAAAAGAAGGATTCGGCGATTGACGAAAACCGTGTTATTTTTTTGAGGTGACCTTTCGAAGCTTTGTAGTTTTACTCAAACAATTGCTTGGAAGATGGTTGCACAGTAAAATTTTATCCAGGAATCTCTCTTTTGAAACTACCGAGGAAACGCTGAAGACCGAGGTGGAGAAGTTTGGTAAGGTGGAACTTGCGCTGTGCTGCAAATTTCGTGATAGTGGTCATCCTAAAGGTTCGTGTGAGCAATCTAAAATATCTAAAGTAACACTCAAGTATTTTGACAAAGGGGATAGAATTTTTTGAATTTTTCCTTTCAGGAACAGCTTTTGTCCACTTCTCTTCTCCAACAGAGGCGCAAGCATTACTGGAGGCCACCGAGCGAGGACTCGAAATAGGTATTACCTCACACCTTTAGATCTATCTGTGCAAGTCGTTTCATTTTCTAGACGGTAGAGAGATCAAAGGATCATTAGCCATTCAACGAGAGAATGCGGCTGAAATTCAGAAACAAAAAAGTGTCAAAGTAAGTGCTATAGCTGTGATTTGCTGTTTTCTCCTGGACTTTAAGCTTCTTCGTATGTAGGTGCCGGAGGATAAGAGAAATCTTCGACTGATTCGTTTTGGTTTGATTCGAGAAGGAACATCTGCAGCTAAAGGAATGAGTGCTGAAGACGCGGCTAAGAGACAACGCTTGGCTGAAGTATCTAGAAAGAAACTGGAAAACCTTCACATGTGAGTAACAGGCAATATTTAACGGTTTTTTCCTCGCGCTCAGTTTTCCTATCAAGGTTTGTTTCACCCACGCGACTAATGATACATAATCTTCCCATGTCTATGACTGATGAGAAGCTGAAGCAGATATGTCGCAATGCAACAGGCACTGCGGGTGTTATAACGGAATGCCGCATATGGAAAGATACATCCAAATTGGATGCGAAGGTACACCTAAGACTACATCTTCACCATTCTTTACCGACTATGTGACTTTCAGGGGAACCCGCGCTCCAAGGGTTTTGCATTTGTGAACTTTGCTGAACATAAGGATGCTTTGACATGTTTGCAAAAACTCAACAACAATCCTGCAACGTTTACAAATGAACGCCGACCTATAGTAGAGTTTTCAATTGAAAATCTGATGGCTATAAGAGCAAAGGTGAGCTCATCAGAGTTGTTCTTTGATTTCACTGGAAAAGTTCCTTCAGTACTTAACTACATAGTTCAGGCAAAGAGGGCATCTAACAGTAAAGGGGAGAAATTAACAGAAAAGGAGTTAAGCGAAAAGATTAGGCAGCAGGTGAGTGGCTTTTTTGCAGATACATAGGATTTCTCTCACTGATTATAGGTGAAACAATCAATAGGAGAAGTGCATGCCTCAGGAATGAAAGTAATGCCCAAATTCCTTGGTAAAAAATTGCGACACAAGAACATGAGCAAGACACAATTGAAGAAAAAGGTATGCCGTTTTTATGGGTTATTGATATCTGAGATCCTGATGATGATGTTGCCTTGAGAGAGCTATTATTTGTTTGTGTACGGCATTATACACCCCATTTGTTTTTTTTTTTCAGAATTTGAATAAGAAAAAATTCGAAAAGAGGAAACAAGAAACGCTTGCTAGTGATGTGAACATCAAGAAATCAAAAGGAAAGGACAAGAAACAAATCACAAAATATCTCGCCTTGTCATCATGAGTTCTCCATGCCTAGGAACCATTAATAACTCACTACTTCCATCTGTGTTTTTCAATTATCTCTTCGTAAACTATCTACTCAATAGATATGTCTATAGTCTGTCAACTTGTTGTTTTTGTTGCTGTTGTTCTTGTTGCTCTGTGCTGTTGTATATTGTTGGTGGAAACCTACATTGTTGTTTGTATAAAGTAAGTATATTACGCTGCACTACGTTTTTGATCTGGGTTAGTCACTAAAATGAAGAATTAAAAGATAACTTCTTTGCCGTTTGACCTGGCTACTAGAGTGCTTTCCAACAATGCACCCATAAACATGTGAAGCTGCAAGGCTCGTTTGTTTTGTTTTGTTTGATAGTACAGTATCCCGCTAGATAATTATCTCTGTGAATAAGAAGCTCTTCTGTTTTCGTAGGCACTGTTTATGGTGACCTGCTTTTAGAGCATCGTTGAAATCTAAATGAATCAATGCTTTGTTGGTGTTTGCCGCAACATATCGTAAAGCTGTTTTATCTGTTTACTTACCCAGGAATGGAAAAGAGTTGACTCACCGAGTAGAGACTTTGTGAATGCATCTCTGCAGTTGTTTTGGAGATGTTTTTGCATACTTTAAATATTCTGCGCAGTTCGCACAAAATACCTCTGCAAACATAGAGAGGTAGTAAGAGTAGTAAGCGCAGTCTCAACTCAAATAATTCGAAGACTGCGTTTCACAATTTTTTGCTGGTCAGAGACGCCTTCGACAGTTAATTAATATAGCTAATGATAAATCCATTTCGAAGAGATCACGCTCGGTTACTATGGTGTTGAATGAGCAAGGCTTCAAATATCTCCATGCGCTGAAGCATTCCTTCGCTTGGTACGATAGGTGTGTCCTTTTCTGTTTACCAGCTCCGCTACAAAGACAGAGATCAACAAGATAAGCAATGCCATTTTTGTCTTGCTTTGCTTGTCACTCGGCTTTGAATCCAGCTACTCAGGAGAAGTTTATGGAGCTCAAATTACTCGCGTATCCTTTTTGTAAATGGCAATGACTGACCAACAAAGAAGCGCCAATAGCAATAATTGAATGTGAGCACAGGACAGGCGCTCGGCGATCTTTGGTCAATGACGATATCAAACGTCGGCTCATACCCGCGTACATTGCAAAAGGTTCGACGGCTCTAGGAATTGTCGTTGGTTTTTGGAGCCATTCCTGTTATCGATGAGCCTTCTTACTCGTGAGTTGGTTCTTTTCTTCACACTCTTACCTCTAACAATGTGTGATGCTTGTTGTGTACCCGCTAATCAGTCCAGATATTTCATTGCCTTGTGTAGAACTATCTATATCAAGCATTCATTCAGCTTGCTACGGGCTTGCGTAGACTTTCAAAAACATTTATCTTTGCAAATTCGCTACACTACATGGAAGCATTACCAAATGTTTTCCAAAATTGGGGGTCGAATGTCATGGTCAGTAATCAATTTATTAACATCTTAACATTGGACAACGGCACCGCTGATACGCTTGCAGTCTCCGCCCTCGCGCGAATTTGGTAGACCTCAGTATCAATAACAGGTCGTGGAAATCGTAGGCTCTCGTTCTTTATTTGGACAATTCACTTAAGTAAACTTTGCTAAGTCTACATCGCAGTAAGTTGAGTTTATACTACTACGGCAAAGTGAACGTGTTCACTCCCATAATATATGCGGCTTTTCGTAACACGACATTTGGACTTACTTGCATTAAATCTTCTCTTTTGCCTTCTCCTTCCTATATTCTTAGAGAGGGACATTGATAAACTCGACAATATGATCCAAACTACATGAATTGTATAGGTGGGCTTACCTGCTTATACCTTCAGATAATTAAAACAATTTTTGAAATTTCTGAAAACTTAAATGAGTCTTGAAAAAAATCCCTTTCCCTTTCCGTCTCTTCGAAATGTTCAAAAAAGGGGTGGCTGCCGCCACCCCTTTTTTGAACATTTCGAAGAGACGCACGCAAAGGTTTTTATTGAGCATAGCATCTGAAAAAAAAATCGGAATGCGTGGCTTTGATATAGTTTATTTTGCTGCCATAGCGTTCGCTTTGTAACAGTGTCAGAGGCGGCAACAGAGTCGATGTAACAGCCATTTTTAAGCACCGTTTCAATGAATACCAAGAAAATCTGTCTATTTTCAGAGCTAAGATTCTGGAACTAATCATGCGTGCCGCTTTTTGATTGTCCATTTGTTATTTCCCACCAAAAAACACCAGAATTCTAATTTGGATCTGTATTGTGGTAGAGGTGCCCTTCCCATTGGTTAGCTCATCTTCGGAAATAGTCAGTCCTCAAGTGATAGACCAATACTCAGTTTCCTTATATCATTTGTGATCTAATACTTGTGTATGTCGTGTTTGACGTACTAACTTTGAAATCACACATATGCTGAAATACATGTTTACAGTTACTTCGCGTAGATTTATACAACTAACGGCTGCAAGAATGACGGATCACTCGATTTATCAGTTCACTGTGAAGGATGCGGATGGAAAAGATGTCTCCTTGGAGAAATACAAGTACGTTTAGTGTTCTGTCTTTTTGAGAAACATAGCTATCTATTCTAGGGGCAAAGTGGTTGTGATTGTTAATGTAGCATCGCAGTGCGGTTACACTAACTCGCACTATACGCAGCTGAAAGAGATGCTTGACAAGTACCATTCAAAAGGCCTAGAAGTAGCTGCCTTCCCTTGCAATCAGTTTGGACATCAGGTATGTAACAAGTTTTTTTAATCATTTGAAGTTAGCGTCACTTGTCTTATTGGCACTGAAATCATAAGTGCATTGAAAGATCGGATTTAATTAGTTTACCGTTTGCTTCTTCATATAAATTTTCAGGAGCCTGCTTGTGAGCTTGATATCAAGAATTTCATACACGATAAGTTCAACTTTGAACCGGATCTCTACGCTAAGATTGACGTCAATGGTGATAAGGCTGATCCGCTATTCAAATTTCTGAAAAAGGAGAAGGTATGATTACCAAGTGTCGTACAAGACTGATGTTCAGTTTCCAGGGTGGCATGCTCATTGATGCAGTCAAGTGGAACTTCACTAAATTCTTGGTTGATAAAGATGGAAAAGTTGTGAAGCGGTATGGACCAAATACAGAGCCGAAAGGGATGGTGAAAGACGTTGAAGCGCTTCTGAATGACTCAACTAAACTATGAGCTTGTAATTAACATGAGGAGTGTGTAATTATATCTCTACATTTGATTTCCACTTTGTCAGTATTTCATACCAGTTTGGTCTTATATTTCTGCAGATGTATCATACTGTTTGTTCCTCAAACATCACCGAGGATTTTATAAAATTATTTTACAGTTTTATGCGCAGTTTGTCTAATGTAATAAAGACGTCCCATTGTCTTTGTGAATAGATCCAAGTAAGCGTAATTCGTGGACTATGTTATTATAAATTATGTGTAGTGTTTCTTGAATTTCACATGTGTTGGGTTTCGGTTTACCATTTAGAGTAGAAACAGTGCTGCAGCGCAAGTAGAGGGTGTTTACTATAATAATACGTGATGGAGTACTAATGTATCAATAGAGTTGCAACAGAGCCGATTACTGCGAAACTATCTCATCAAAAGGGTAAAGGGTTGTGCCGAAAAAGCAGCTGCTATGTTGACCGCAGTGATAGCGATCCCGTATCGTCGGTTCGTTGAGCGCATGAACTGGACATCACTGCGAAGCACGCGCAGCGAAGTAAAACGCTTGCCCCAGTACAAATTCGATATTGTAAAGGCTATTGCAGGACGAAGGCGCAGAAGTAGCATTAGCTGAGTGGACACGCGGCGCGCGCATATCTTCACCATTGTAAATCCTGCGCGTCATGCGCGGGGCCAATGAAGCCGCCTTCGGACGTTCACCCCTGAGTGAACGCCCCATTTTAGCGACATATAGTCCTCTGCCCGATTTATGGCAACTATTTATATTTACCGAGGGTCATCCGAAACGCTAAGTCCGATAATCCACATCAGAAAGCGAGAAAACGTTGAGAATTCCGGAGACATCCCATTTTCTGCTCCGGATACCTCCCATTTGCGCTCCGGAGGCCTCCCATTTTGCGCTCCGGAGACCTCCCATTTTCTGCTCCGGAGACCTCCCATTTTCTGCTCCGGATACCTCCCATTTTCTGCTCCGGAGACCTCCCATTTGTGCTCCGGACCCCTCCGATTTTCTGCGGCGCGGCTCTTCCAAATCTGGCGGACTCGCACCGGGCAAATTTCGCCGGCGCGGCTCTGCCAAATCTGCCGTACCTCCGGAGCAGAAATGGCGTACCTTTGCAGCAGGGCCGGAGAAGCGTCCCACTTGCCTGCCAGTGATGTCACCGCGACCTACAAGAAGGGACCGCCCATTTGCCCCGCTCTCATTGGTCAACTGGGTCCGGCGCGACTCTGGCAGATTCCGACTGTCCGGCGGAGGGGTCCGGTCGATTGTCTGAGCTTGTAAATGAGCGGACATGCATTCCTGCAGGAGATCCGCGCGGGACTCTTCCAAATTCGGCGGCATATAATCCTCCACCCGCGTCAGACTAAGCGACTATTTTGTTCAGCTGCGGAAGGTGCGCAGAGTTGACGTTGAATCTGCGCAGGACCGCGTAAAATTAATGTTAATTCTGCGCTGTTCTGCAGCGGACCCCTAAAAAAATTTTTTTAAAGATGCTATACATAATTTGTACGAGGCCATGACCACGAAATTTTGGAAGAAGGGGAATTTTATAAAAAGGGAAATGGGGGGGGGGCGCTATCGCCACGCCCCGAAGATATCTTGCAGCCAGTTCGATTCTTAAGAATTTGAAATTATTCCAATTTTTTACAAGAACGAACAAGTCACTTGCACATTTTTGAAACAAGTGTAAGCAAATTTCAAAGATTTCCCGACCCATCCTCGGGGGCGGAGGGTGCCCACCCCCCTTGGTCCACCACTACCTGCCGCATAACATCAATTCAAACAAATAAATGTTCCGCCCCAAGGCGTGAGTTTCCCAGATTTCCGACCGTACCGTCCGTATATCGTACTTCTGTCGAAGATTATGGGCTAGCACTTGCGCGATGGCGCGTACGAAGGGGCCCAGTTTCGCATGGCACTGAAATCCCAAAACTCTCCACTTTGTCCGGACACTGCCTTTGCCTCCCTAACTTAATCCACTCTATTCACTTCATCCATTTCTTCCTACTGATTAAATCAGTGAACTGACCAATAGCGAGGTGATCAAAATGGACATCCGTCTCGCTATTGGTTAGTTCACTGATTTGACCATACGAAGTGGATGAGTGTATCGAGCAAGTTTATTAAGTGTTGCAAGCAAACTAATTGCTTCTCTTCATTCTTCTCAAAGTCTAATTGGTCAAATGCAAATGCTGGCACTCGAGAGGCCACTACGAAGCGGACGCGCCGCTGCAAATGAAGTTACGGCCTACACTCGGTCGGTGGAGACTGTAGAGTGTACGATACATCGGTCAGTTCGTATGTGGAGGCGGGTAGTAGTAGTCCATGGTCGGAGGATCATGACTTATAATAAGCGGCTTAATCTGAAGTTGTGTGGAGTTTGTCCGTTACGAAATTACAGTGAGGAATGATTTACATTGCTTAAATGCATGTGAGAGTTGCAAAGCAAGGAAGGTTCATTTTTGTAATTACTTTGCGGTTTCCTCCATCAAAGAATGATGAAGGCCAAGATCATTACGTAAGTGTACCTATACTTTTCAGATGGCCAGTGCGAACCTCTGCGAAGCAGAGGTGAAGCACTGGTTGGAAATAAGTTGCATATACCCTCGATATCATCCCATATGTCTTCCCTCAACATGACGTGGACTACGTGGCTTGATGAGGCGCCGCCTCACCTCAGGCTTGCGCCACGTTTGCGTGCGCATCTTCGGCGTGATGTGGCAACAAGAAGAACGTGGAAAAGCCTGCGCCACGTTGTACTGAGCGCCACGTCGCGCCAAATGATGCGCTCGCAATGTGGCGCGAGCCCGAGGCGAGGCGGCGCCTCATCAAGCCACGTAATCCACATCATGTTGAGGGAAGACATATGGGATGATATCGAGGGTAGGCGAAGGCGCAATATCTTTGATCGCGAATGCGGCTTTATTAGCCGCAGAGCGCATGAGGCGCAGAATCTGGGTAGGGGAAGAAAGCCGCCAGCTTCGGTCACCTGCGCGAACTGCTGGTCCTGGAACGACATGCAACAACGTTGTGAAAGGACCAGTTAGCCGCGAAAGGCGGCTCAAACTGGCGGCTTTCGTCCCCTACCCGCAGAATCTATAACGGTGGAGATACGAGCGCGTCGTGTTCGTGCCTGCTCAATTAATATTGCTTCTGCCCTTCGTCAGTAACCTTTAGATAAGTTTTTGAAGATACCGGTAGAAGGATGTAAAACCATATGGTCATGAACCGAAATTGTGAGCGGAGAGATGGGAATAGGCCATTTACAGGGCTTTACAACCTGAGTGTCACAGCCGCCCCGCTCTGCCGCCACGCTTACAAGGGAACGATACTCGGTGTCCGTGGCTTTTTGAGATGAGATGTAAACCATTACACTCGTCTTCGAACGCTGATTCCGAATCTGACTTCCGTTTCTGCTAATCGCTTCAAAGATGTTATGATGGATCGCGCGGAGTTTGGCTGCCTAGTGATATATGGTCGGAGCGCGAGCGACTTCGTTAAGCTGTGGTCTAGTGGTTAGTACGATAGCCTCATGAGTAGATGCAGGTGTAGGTTCGAGTCCCTTTGTATTTTTCAGTTTTGCCTTGCCTCAGTTAACCTTCTTTCGCATCCTCAAGCTGAGTGAAGGTCCTTACTCTTCCAAAAAGAATTTGGAATGAATGATTGGTGTTTGCGCTGAAATGTATCCAGTGATTATAAGTCGAGTGAATTTTCTTGAACAAGTAAGGCAGTGCAAAGGTAAAAACACAAAAGGATTTGAACCTACACCTGCGTTGACTTATGAGGCTATCGCACTATTTACTAGACCAGAACGTGGCCGCAGTAGAGGCCGTTCCAATGACCACAATTCCTTTGGGCGGCCAAACTTGGCTCAAATTTCGCTATAACTTCTTTCAGAGAAACGATTAGCAGAAACGGAAGTCAGATTCGGAATCAGCGTTCGAAGACGAGTGTAACGGTGTGCATCTCGTCTCAAAAGGTCACGGACATTGAGTATCGTTTCCTTGTTAGGTCCGCGCAGCGTTCGTGGCGCTGGCTGCGCGTCGACTGAAGCTTGGCAAAAGCCCGGGCGATACGCCGCAAACGCCGCGCGCGGCCTGAGCGAGGCGGCCGCGTTGGAGGAGCCGCGCAAGCGGAGGCTGTGACTCTTACGTTGAAAAGCCCTGTATATATTTCAAGTTAGTACAGCGGTAAAGTATGGGACCTCAGTCGTTGTTGCACAGCATATCGTCGATTCGTTGACCGCATGGATTGCTCAAACGCTGCGGACCACGCGTAGGGCGGCTGAATCGACACGAGGGTACGACTTGTACAATGGCGATTTTGTACATACTGGGGCAAGCGTTTCTCCTCGCGGCGCGTGCTCCGTAGTGATGTTCAGTCCTTGCGGTCAGCGAGCCAACTATACATAGATATGACATGCTTGCGCAGGTGTGATCGATCCTGTGTCAATATACAGTGGAAACAAAATCAAAATAGTATAATGCTTACTCAGTATTTACTTATGCCAAGTCTCAACATGCTGATAGAGACTTTTTCCTTACAGAACATTACAGCTTCACTTCATACGCTCACAAAAGGGCTCGACTTTTCTATGACTCGATATGGTTGCCAACAGTGCACTGGCGGATCAGCTGAAGCAACTCTTCGAGCGCTGCTCAACAATGGAAGAACTGCCGCATTCTTTTGATGATACCCTCATTGATCATTTGATCGAGAAAATTGATCTCACTGGTGAGCGACATTTGTATTACTCTTTGATTCGATGGATTGGCGGTTGGAAAGCGGGGCTTCGTGACCTATTTAAAGGCAGCGCCCAGGCAGATCTGGACCTATGGGGATTTTACGTGGAAAGTACTTTTGGGGTCCTAACTAAACCATTGCCCAACAGGCAGCTCAGATAGTGCTCTAACGGCTGAAATATTTTCCTCGAAACTGGACTCCGCAGTTGTATTTCGCATGACTGAATTATAGAATGTAAAAGGCACTTCTGACCTACCGTAGTCAAAATTAAGCGTGACGGTAATGTTGACTGCAGAAACATGCAAATCTACGTCCAATAAACTATGCTGCGATAGAACAAGACTGTAGGTGGGTAGCATATTGCTTGAGAGCGATGAACAGTCGATGTGCAGCAACGTTACGTATCAATTCCCAGTCGTGCTGTGAGCTGCTCTGATATCACAGCTGTGTGTATATGTAGATAGGTACTTACCTACCAGCCACAGCAGTTTACGTGGATTACGTTTTAAGGAACCGCTGGACCAGCAACAAGCTTGAGATTTGAGAACCCCATGAATTTCGTAATTTCTCTTCTAACCAGGTTCAAAATAAAGCTAAGCCTCACATTTATATCCTCTCGATTGTTTCTCTTCGAGTTTGCTGTCGCTTAACTGAGGATGGATCCTTGATCGAAGTAGCCTTTCGAGATGATATGCATACATATGGTTTTGCAAAGCATCAGCCGCTTCTAGATCTGTCCTCTTTATCTGCGGAGCGGCTATGTAACGAAGATCGGAAGGCGTAGAAAGGGAAATCGTAAACAGAAGCATCTCATGGGTTAAGATGAAGCAGAAATGCTTGTCAAACCATTCTTTACAAAAAAATTTTTGTTTCAAACCCATACTGGGAAACAGCTTCTATCTCATACCCAGACCCGAATACAACTCTGACTGCGGAATGTACAGGCTGTTATACACAAACTTTTTTCCTCGTTGTGCGTTCTCTTTGATTTTTGAAACGGTCTAGCTTCACCCTTAGGTGTTCCGCAGACAAGGAAGACAAATTTGAAATCAACTTCCTTCCCGTTAATTGCTTGAGCGTAATCCAAGATTGGTACAGAACTTTATCGCACAGAATAACAGAATAACGTTTCGGCGAACTCGCCTTCTATGCCAAGATTCATGGATAGTCGAACATGGATGCTTATGAACGATGTACCAGCAACTTCCTTCCTTCAAAAATATGTGCGACTCAATCTTAAGGGGAACTTGGACCAATGATCCTTCCCGTGTAAGTCTTTTAGTCAACAAGGTGATACGCTCGTCTAGTCTGTTTTGACACTCGAAAATGATTAACATGGCAACAAGGACAGGCGATTGACGCCAAATTGGTACGCTTTATAGTGACCGTGATCCTAGTCCATAGGTGCGATAGGGGGAGCCGGGATCTCCCCAGGTGAAGGGGGTCTCGGCTGTTCCCGACCTTCCAGGGTGAAGGGGGTATGTGAGTCTGGGGGGGGGGGGGGGGGTGGGGGAGGAAGAGAGAAAATGTAAGAAAGCGTGCTATGAAAAGCTCTAATTTGTATGGTTTATCCCAAAAGATGTGCAAGTTAGGAACAACTTCATTTCCTGCGCATCATCATCAACAATATCACTATCGCTAACGTCAGAGAAAACAAATTCGGTGCCTGAAAAATCTTCTTCTTCCTCCAAAAGGTCATCGGAGTGGAAGTAGAATTGCGTGCAAAGCGTTCTAAGTCAAAAATAGATTTGAAACTTTCTTCTTCTTCTAAGCACTTTTGTGATTTTTTTCCTGGCCCTCTGGTAGCATCAGGAAGTCAGCAGGTAGGTGACCAGTTTCTTCATAATCTTTTAGGATATTTCAAAAAGTCATACGGTAACAGCCTGTCTGGACCACTTATACCAATCCTTTGAATGAAGTTTTTAGATAACAATGTGTTTAGTAGAAGGTTGACAAATCTTAAGTATTTGCTTAGATGCTCTATCGTTGTACGACTTCTGCGTTGTGTTCTGATAACAGAGTAGATAGAAAATTTCTTTCTTCACCTCTGCCGTGCTAGACGGAATGGAAACTAGCTTTGCTAGTAAATCTTTCAGATTTTTGCGGTAAGTAATGGGAAAAGAGCCAGATCGCATATGCTTTCGCAACACGAGAAGGAAATAGTGCATACTTTTTTGGGCCTTGTCGAACTCTGGCTCCATCTCCTCTGGCATGCGTCCTGTTAGCTGATGAGAAAGCTGCTCAGCTTCTTCTTTAACAGCATCTGCGGAATAGCCGAAAAAAGTAGATACTATGCTGCGCGTTGTTTTTTTTTCAATATCATAGGTCATAATGTCACAAAGCGAATAACTTCCAAAAGCATAAAGCACAGAGTTGGGTTCGCACTCCAGCCGGGATCTAAGTGCAGTAACTATGCTTTGTACTAACACCTTCCTTTTGTTCATATCCATATTTGTGAATTTAGCAGCCTTGAATTCTTCAGCAACCTGAAGATCAGCAATGGACTTCCTGGACATTTCCTCATTAAAACTAGACAATCTGCTTGGATTCCTTATGCAGGAAATCAGAGAGTTTCGCTCAATTGTCAACTCTGTGTCAATGTCGACAACATTTTCGTCGGCGTAGGATTCTCCTTCTGCCTCGCTATTGAACTGGAACACATGCGAGTCATCTACGATTTTGTAAAGTATTCTGCCTGTTCCTCTTTAAACTGCCAACCTTTCCAAAACATTGAGGGATAATTTAATAACATGTTATTCTTCTGAATGTCTTAAAGTTTTTGATTCATTGAACCCAATCACCTTCTCTACAAATTAGGTAAGGTGAGTCTAGAGCGTTTTCATGATAGTGACCTTCTTCAGCACTAGGCTTACAGAGTATAAATTCCAGAAATGGGCAGGTTTTTGTGTGAAGGTGTGGAAATTTATCAATCTCCCATAGTTTTTTGAGTGTGCGCTAATAATGATGGCATAACTGTCAATCAAAAGCGCATTTTTTACAAAAAAACATAAACATATAACAACGATAAGGACGCTCAAACAGACGCGTTCGCTCACGTTCCCGTTAGTGCTGATAACGATGTCAATCCACAGCACATTTTTTACTATTAACTTGCTCCACCTCGCTCTTATTAGGTCGTCCAGAAAGTTTTTGCGCATGAATTTCAAAATTCATAACTTCTGATTTTTCCAACCGATTTGACTGCTTTCACTTTCATGTGAAAGGGTAAGTCATGCTCTTTATAATGACTTCTCAGCTGCTTAGTAATGGTCATCTGTTGCATAGATAGGAGCGACAGAAGAAAAATGGTAAAAATTTTAATTTTCTGTGTAGGGTCATAAAAAATCGGAGACTTGCAACAAAAATCGGAGCACAGTAATGTAGGATCTTTCACCAGCTCTTTCTAACAGTGCAAAGTTTGCGCCGATTGAGCGTCTCCATGAAAAGTTATGATTTCCCTGAAAAATGCTAAAATATATCAAATTCGCCTTTTTGTATTGCTTGCTCGGAAATCATAACTTTTCATGGAGACGCTCAATCGGAGCAAACTTTGCACTGTTAGAAAGAGCTGGTGAAAGAACCTACAATACCGACTGCTCCGATTTTTGTTGCAGGTTTCTGATTTTTTATGACCGTACATAAAAATTCAAATTTTGAGTGATTTTGGTTTTGAGCTTCTATCTATGTAACAAATGACCATTACTAAGCAGCTGAGATGTCATTATAAAGAGCATGACTTACCCTTTCAAATAAAAATGAAAGCAGTCAAATCGGTAGGAAAAATCAAAAGCTATGAATTCTTGAAAATCGTGCGCAAAAACTTTCGGGACGATCTATACAATGTGTTGGCTTTTATGGGTCACCGAAGCAAATGATTTTTAGAGCCAGGAAGCAAAGAAGCCCTAACATGCTGTAAACCATTCGAAAGCTGAGATCATGGAGAATCGACGTAGACCGTCGCCTTTTTTCTACGTCTTCTGTGCCGCGAGATATGAGGGATTTTATGTGCTTCAAAAATTAACTGATTTTGTGCCCTCACTTTCTGCTTTCCAAATGAATGCTACGAGAAAGTCGACGGTCTACGTTTGTTAATGAAGACTTGCTCTTTAACACAGATAGATAATCAGCAGTGACTAGGTCTTCATTTGACAGAAATCTGCTGTTGAAAATGACCATGTTTTCAGATAAAATGCGGTGTATCTCTCGGTAGAGGGGGCTAGAAAGAAGTCGACGGTCTAGATCGAATCCCCTTTTCCTGAGCTTTCGAATGGTATATAGGTTGCTGGGCGAAAAAACAGACCAGTTTTCAAAAATGGGGTGGAGATATTTACTATTAGCTTGCTCCAATCCGGCTCCACCAATGTATTGGCTTTTATCGGTTACCGGAGCAAATGATTTTTAGAGCCGGGAAGCAAAGAAGCCCTAACATGCTGTATACCATTCGAAAGCTGAGATCATGGAGAATCGAAATAGACCGTCGACGTTTTTCTAGGTCTTCTGTGCCGCGAGATATGAGGGATTTTATGTGCTTCAAAAATTAACTGATTTTGCGTCCTCACTTTCTGCTCTCCAAAATGCTACGAGGATAAATAAATAATGTGTGCTTGTTGTTTGAGGTACTTAGCCTGCAAAACCTTTTAATAACGATTTTTATCATATTCTCAGAGTACAATACCAATCTCAGCCCAGGTGAAGGGGGTCATCGGGAGTTTGGCCTCAAAGTGAAGGGGGTAAGATCCATCACTCCCCCTATCGCAACTATGTCTTAGTCCCTGTAAACTGAAACAAAGCCGTCAAAGGGAGAGGGAAGTTATTGTATTCAGTTGACATCAAGACACTGCATAATCAGTTCGGTTTTGCGCTGCTTATCTTTCACATAAAGTATGTTGTAGTTCTTCCAATTTGACGAATCCTTTAATGAGTATAGGTATCGTTTTCGTTCATGACCGGTCTTTAAACTTTTTTTGTCAACTTTGTTAAGAGCTCAAAAA